TTGACGAGGACACCCTCCTCACAGACGCAGACCTCTCGCGCCCCATCAACATCCGTACGTCTCTTCTCATGCTTACCCCCCCCTCCCTTTCCCCCTTCAAGCGGGAAGCACAAGAAAATAATGGCATGACTAACAAATACCGAAAAAAACAGCTCCCGAATGCGCCCCCAAAGCAGGAAAACGTCGCCGCGCCTGCAAAGACTGCACCTGCGGCCTAGCAGAGCGCCTCGCAGCCGAAGACGACGCCGCCCGCGCCTCCGCCGACAAAGCCCTCGCGGCCGTCAAACTCGGCGCAGACGACCTCGCCGAAGTCGACTTCACCGTCCAAGGCAAAGTAGGCTCCTGCGGCAACTGCGCCCTCGGCGACGCCTTTAGATGCGACGGGTGTCCTTACATTGGTCTACCGCCCTTCAAGCCCGGCGAGGAGGTGCGGATCCTCAATAATGATATCCAATTGTAAAAAAGGGACTCCTTGTCCCTTTTTTCTCTTCATCACTGTCTATACTCTTTTGGGGGGGAGCAACAACAACAACACACAGACAAACGACTGGCGTTTACAAAGTCATGGTATGGGAGGAGCCTGTCACATAACATATATCCATCTGCAAGATGCATTTATTTTTTTCAAAGGAAGGGGGGAGGGAATCAAATCATTGGGCGGCGGTTCATCAGGCGACAAAGTCAAATTGGTACTTTCAAAAGGGCGCTTCGTTTTAAGAGAAAGAGGTGTTTAGGCGTAGGAGAAAAATGATACTCCAGTCTGCTTGGACTAGAGAAGACATAAATAACTGGCATACCTTGAGACAAGGCATGAATCGCAAAAGGGAAAGCACTAGAAAACTGTAGATGCACCATCAGGTATCAGGCCGCAGCCAAATTAAAATAACCAAAATTTCCCTGTGGAACATAAAATTCTTCCTGCTCTATCCTTATTCAGACATCACATAAAAACTCCGTTTCCGTGCTGAAGCCTAATGTTCACCCTCTGCCCCTTTGGGAAAAAAAGATAACCTTCGCTAAACTTTCCATGCATTGTTTGAAGGAGCATCAATATTTTCGACCTTGCCAACCCGAGATATCATCGCAAAGCTGCCGTCGATTCATTTTTACCGCGCTGAGCGGCTGCCATTTGCTCTCGAGGGCTTCTCATGAGCCTCATCATCGCTGTCGCCTCCGACACTGTAGCGGTCCTTATCCATCGTCGGTGTCGTGACGTGCAAGTCGTCCAGTTCACTCTCGTCAAAGTCGCCCGTCTCAACGTCGCGGCCAGTTCTCCGGTCACGGAATCCCTCGAGACCACCACGCGTGGCGCCTCTTTGAGTGGTGGGAGGAGTGTTGCCCATAATGCCAGAGTAGCCCCTGCGCTTGCGGCGCTCCTTCCAGACGTACCAACCCCAGGCACCCGCTGCGATGATGACAATGATCAGAACAATCTCGCCCGAGCGGTAGTATGCCTTCCATTTCGCATCGTCCAGCTTCTTTTGCGTTTCCTCGTCGTCGGAGGTGCTGTTGCCAATGTTGCCGACCGAAGTAGCGGGGCCGGTCTCGCCATCAAGTCGGGAGTCGGTGGGTGTGCCGCCAACAGAGCTGATGTCGACCTTCATGACACGGTCAAGCATATCGCGACTTCGGCGAGCGTAGTCGAAAGGAACCATGTGAGAAGAGTTGTAGAAGAGGATGTAGGTGAGGTTGCGTGCCTCCTGCCAGAAGCCGGCAGCTTCACCCTCAACGGTCCAGTCGCGGCGAGGAGCCCAGTTGCCGGGAGTGAGCTCGAAACCCTTGCCACCATTCCATTCCATGTCGCCAATCATCTGTTCGGTTCCCATGTGATTGCAAATCAGATCCTCGGCGCCAGAGAAAAGGACAACGGGGACCTCCTTGAGAAGATCGGGAAGGAAGTCTCTTGAAGGTGCTGAGTTGGGAGCTCTGAAGGCGGCACCAACGGCACCGTTACACTCCTTCCAGCCGGTGTTCTTCTGCGGGTTGATATGCAGGGCGTTGACGACTTCGGTTTTGCGTAGGTAAGGGGTAACGTTGACCAAGTCTGGGGGCCAGTTCATACCGCATGAAGGGTAGGTATCACGGAGGCGAACGTCGTACATGTTAATGCACTCGCGCTCGCCCTTGGAGTTCACCTTGGCCGTCTGCTCAAGCAGACTCTGCAAGACAGCCTCGCACTCGGAGAAATCGACAGTGTTTGTGACGGCCAGCGAGGTGCGGCAAATGCGCCATTGCTGCTCCAACTTGAGCGCGACAGGGGATCCCGTCTCGATGAGTTTCTTCTCGTAGGCGAACTTCAGGTAGGCGTCGTATTGCTCCTTGGGAGAAATCCAAGCGTTGCCCATGATCAGGCCCTTGAGCTGCCAAATGTGCTTCGTGCCAGGCTTCTTGTTTCTCTCAAGGATGTGCTTCGCAATATATGGAATGTGCTGACCAGCGTACGATTCACCGGCGATGTAGAGCTATTTGACTGTTAACCCGGTTCCACGTTCGTCGTATGTGTCCAGTATACTCACGTCGTCGTGCTCGTACTCGGGGAACATGGCAAACCACTTCTCGAGGAATGCAACAAATTGGTCGGCCATCTCGGGAAGCTCGTGCAGATAGCTATCGGTATCGACGTAACTAAAGCCGGTACCGATGGGGTTGTCGACAAAGAGCAGGTTGGCGAACTCGTTCCATGAGCCGTTGTTGTACTCGAGATGGTCCTTATCCTTGACTCGGTAGGGACCGATTTCCATCAGGGCGCCATCCTCGGAACTACATCCTGGACCGCCGTTCAGCCAAATGACAGTGCGCTGCTTGTTGGCGATGTGCTGGTTCTGGAAATGCCAAAAGAAGAGGTTTCCGTTGTGTTCGGGTGTTACTTCGACGTGGCTGCGATGAAACGCGCGTCAGCTTTGGATAGCTCTGCATTTTACGGATGCCTCTTCAGTTTCCCCACAGGGGTCAAAGGGGGAAGATGTTGCAAGCGCGGCAGCATCGGAGGACAACGTACCCAGCGTGCATCTTAATAAAAGGCTCCTTGGGTGCGCCGGGCAGTTCGTGAACAAAGTAGTCGGCGGCGCTCTGGGCGGTGACGGCGGGCGTCCATGATGCCAGCGCAAGAAGCAGCGCTGGCACCATCGAGAGGATAGCCATGATGGGGGAAGTGTATGGCCTCCCCGAGGCTACCTGGGTCGGATTAGGTAGATTGAGTTACGGATGTGTTCCAATCCGCGATTTCATAGAGACGTCGTCTTCCCCCAACAATACAATAGAAAAGAGAAAGACCACAATCCGCAGCAGGACGGTGTGTTTGCAGATTAGAATGGTTGCTTGAAGGGAGGGCGGAGGATCGGGAGGGAGAGAGATGGGAAAGAGAAGAGGAAAAAAAAAAGACGATGCGCAAATGCTCAAGGTGCAGTTCGTTTGAATTGTCCAGGACCTGACCCGTGGACCCCAAGGCGAGAGCGGAAGTTACAGCTCAGATCTGAAATGTGTACTTTCCGTGCCTTGCTGTTCCCGAGTCTCCCCCCCCCAGTCGATTCGATTCCTCCCACACCCCGGCCGCGCACTTGCCGTCAAGTCCTCAGGCTGAGAACCAGTCAGCCTGTCCACCTCAGTCAGACAGTGGCCATTGATCAACAACCCCTGCCTGCCCGCTGTTCCGCCTACCAAAATAGGCTGGGCGAGAGTGAGAGGGACTGAGGGAGCGGGCGGGCGTGGCACAGACATGGAAGGAATTGGGGTCCCGTCACCTTTCCTGTTATCGCCCAGCGGATGGTAGCGCAGCCGAATGGTGCCGCAGGGACGACGGAGAGTCCAGGTACGGGTACCTACCTCTGAGCCTGACGCAAGTCTCCAAACAGGGGCTTCTCTTAGCAGCCTAGGTACCTAGACTCCAGACTCCAAACTCCAGTGTGTGAAGTCGGTGGCTTCCTGAGCCACTCCAGAGCCCAGGGAGTACTGCTGCCCATGCGTGGCGTCCGCTAGGATTAGTCGGGCGCTCAACGGACCGCGCGTTTTTCACTGTCGACCATCCGTACCGCTGATTACCGGCTTACTGTTTGATTATACTTGTGAATCAGAGTGTCGATAGATCAACATTGAACCCAGGCAAGTCTGTACGACCATGAGATGAACTCCCCGATTCAGCAGAGTGCTGAGTGCCGGGGAACAGAGACCTCCTCCTCCATATTTCCTCGCCTTGGCTTCGTCGATCGAACCCCCCTTTTTTGTTTTAATTTTGCTTGCTTCTCCCATTCTTTACAACTGTCAGACCGGGAGCAACCCGGGATGATATGCTCATCATGCTCAGGAGCCGTCAGGATACCGGCCGGGTTACATGTAGACAGTCATACGCGTGGAACACTCGAAATTCCCCTTGGCACCTATCCGAAGCACAGATCGCCCGGATTGCTGAGCTCGGAGAGCCGGCTTATGTAATACGGGGTTGTCACTACCTTACCGTGTATCTTACGGATACCTAAGTACCTACTCCGTACGCGCATATCTCCATCTTTTAGAGCATTGCAACCTGAGACAGCAGCCCGCCCTGTCCGTTTCTCACCCTCCGTCGTCGGTCCCCTTTTAATACGTGCTTGATGATATGAGGACCCTGAGCAGGACGGAAAGAAGTCCAGGCCTTCTTCTCACAAGGACCGCTCCCGGCCTCGACACTGAGCCCGTCACGGCATGCTCTCCTTATGCAACTCCACGATGAACAATGCCGATTAATGGTAATGGGACCGAACCGGCACAGCCGTTGCCAAGTGAAAGCCAATTATGCGGAACCCACGGAACAGCTGTAGGCTCTCACTTTACTGCGTAGAAACTACCGTCCCTAGTGTAGAAAGTGATTTAGTAGAGGTTATAAAGCCAAAAGAGGCGTAAGAGGCGTATATGCTAGGGCACACCTAGGAGCGTTAAGCATTGTACCTTGCCGCAAAAGGGTGCCCGCGATGGCTTGAAGCCTAAGTAGGTTTTTACTTTGGAGTGAGTGACTGCCAAGTGGAGAGAGTCCAGCGGGCAAGCGCCCAGATCTTAGTCCAGGGCAAATTCTCAAAATCAAAATGGACTCCAAAACAAGCGTTTGACCACAAATTTCAGCCCATTTTCACAATTCCCACCCCCATTTCGACACCCCGTTTCTGCGCTATTACGCGGCCTGCCCATTCCACCTGAAGCGAGAGAAACAAAGCAGCCCAGCCAGTCGGTCAGTCGGCCCCTGGTACAGTAGCATCAAACACACAAACTCCAGATTACACCACCAAAAAAAAAATGCCAGGCAAGACGTACATTGTCGAGCACCTCGACCCCGAGCTGGGCCCCTGGTCCGAACTCGAGTACATCGCCATCGCCAGAGAAACCCACGCCGCCGAGGGCACCTTTCTCCTCTCCTCCCTGCCCGCCGGCTTCGTCGCACCCGGGAAGCTGCAGCAGGTCCCGGCCTTCAAGGCCGAGAACCGGGGCGTCGAGGAGCTCTACGCCGCCGACAAGTCCCGCGTGTGTCTGCTCGACCCCTCCGCCGCCAGCGACCTGAGCCCCGAGGACGGTGAAAAATTCGACGCCTTCCTGTTTGGTGGTATTTTGGGTATGTGGCCCCCTGGTGCAAATTAATGCCAATTCTACATTGAACCTTTTTGCTGATTATCCTTCTTGTCTCTAGGTGATGACCCCCCAAGAGGTAAACTACTCTTTTTCACTCTGGACCTTTGGTCTCATTAATGTTTCTCCCTTCTCACTGACCCCTGTAGACCGCACCTCCGAGTTGAGGAAGAAGGGTTTCGAAGGCAGACGCCTGGGTCCCACACAGATGACGACTGACACGGCAGTCCGCGTCACGAGAATCGTCGTCGAGGAGAAGAGTGCGTGCAAATGACCCCCGTCCCCGGCATCGCATAATTCAGTGAGATGCTCACAGTTAATAGCACCACTGGATAAGATCCCTTACGTGACATACCCCGAGCTCAAGTTCAGTGAGCACGAGAGCACCGAGATGCCCTTCAAGTATGTCACGGACAAGGACGGCCAGCCCATTATGCCAGAGGTAAGTTTTTCTCTTTTTTCGCTTTCTTTCTCATATTCCCCTGTGCATGTTGCATGAGATTTAAATGAATGAGTCTGACACCTCTACAGGGCATGGTTGACCTCATCAAGAAGGATGCTGACAAGGCGATTGATGACCTTTTCTAAGATACCACTTCCAATTGAATTTCAATGACCGTCATGAAAACTTTGCGTCTCAAAATTTGCGTTGCGCCTCTTTCCTAGACCCTCGGGACTTGGCTATGCTTCAACTCTCACTCCCTCACTCGATCATAAAGGCCGGCCGGCATTGACCCGATATCTCAGATCGGTCGCGGTGAGCCTATCTCAAAACTCACTCAGGATCCAGAATCTCGGGCAGCTTGCCGGGTCCCGGACGGACGGCCCGGCCGGGCTATACTCGATTTGACCCCGCACAAGAGATCGGCCATCACCTCTATTCGACTCCGAGATGAGAGGCTTCATCTGGTTGGCCCATGCCTCGTATCTGGACTGGGCCTCTAGTAACCTGGTTTAGGACTCAGGTCCAGCTAAGCTACCTCACAATTCTCCTGACGTATCTCATATCTACGGGTGAACTCTGCTGTTGCCTTAGTCCTCGCACTTTTGCAATTACCATTCCGCATCGTCCTTATCAATTCGACTTTCCCTTTTCGGCGATTCTAAGCACCTCGAGCTCGAGGTCGTATCCTTGCTCATTAGAGCTTCAATTCCTAATCCGCCATTTTCATTTATATCTCGACATCCGCCAAGACCCTCTCTCACCAAAAAGCTTCCTCACATCCCTCTCCCACACATCGTGACATCTTCCATACCTCATCCCCAGTATACTCACATACCTACCAGCTCACAATTAGCAAACAAACATGTCCCACCCCCAAACAACCTTCCGCCAAACAACCTTCACAGCCCCCTCCCTCCTCCTCACCCGCCGCCTCACCGTCTCCCGCACAACAGTCCACGCCCAACTCGCCCAGCTCCGCGCAAACGGCCAGTACGACTGCTTCAAGCTCGGCTGGCACCCCATCTACGACGACCGCTCGCGCTGGCCCGCGCCTCTGCACCTTTTCTGGGACAGCGACGTTGCGAAATGGATTGAGGGCGCGTGCTACTTCCTCGTGGACGAGTACGATGTAGAAGTCGACGCCGCCGTGCGAGAGCTGGTTGCCATGATTCGCGGCGCGCAGCATGAGGATGGGTACCTTAATGTCCATTTCTCTGTCGTGGAGCCGGGGAAGAGGTGGACGAATGTTCGTGATATGCATGAAATGTAAAATCCCATCTCGCCTTTGCTCACAAAGTACGTAAACTACAGCAAAACTCACAAAAATCAAACTAGGTACAACGCCGGCCACCTCATCGAAGCAGCCCTAGCACACAGACAATACTACAGAAACGACCTCCTCATGGACCCCATCGAAAAGTACATCTCCCACATCCACCGCCGCTTCGGCCCAGGCAAGGACCAAGTGAGAGCCTACCCAGGCCACCCGGAAATCGAGCTGGCCCTCTTGCGATGCTACTCGGCAACGGGCAACACCGAAGCCTACGACCTTGCGCGCTTCTTCCTCGAGGAGCGCGGCAACCCGACGGGCCAGGACGGGAAGCACTACTACGACTGGGAAATGGAGCGGCGCGACGAGCCGCGCTGGAAACGCCCCAATTCGTGGCCCATGGATAGGTCGTACTGGTACTGCCAGGCCCACGTCCCGATCCTCGAGCAGGAGTCTGTTGAAGGGCATGCTGTGCGTGCAATGTACCTGCTCACCGCAGCCGCCGACCTCTTGAATATCTCTCAGGGGAGCAGCACCAGCAGCACCGGCACCGGCAACAGCATAACACCAGTTCGACCCCTGACCGCCGCTCCAGACTGGCTAGCCGCCCTCCGCCGCCTTTGGTCTAACATGGTTGATAAGAAAATGTATCTCACCGGCGGCGTCGGCGCTGTAGCGCAGTGGGAGGGTTTCGGTATCGATTACTTCCTCCCCCAAGGCCCCGACGAGGGGGGCTGCTACGCCGAGACGTGTGCTTCGGTGGGCGTCATGATGCTCGCCGAGCGCCTGCTCCACGCGGACGGGCCGGAGCCGAACGGCCGGTACGCCGACATCATGGAGCTGTGCTTGTATAACAACGTTATGACGGCCATGAGCGCCGACGGAAAAGCCTTTACGTACGAGAACCAGCTTGCGAGCTGTGAGGCCGCGCGGAGCGAGCGGGAGGATTGGTTTGTGTGTGCTTGTTGCCCGCCGAATGTGACGAGGCTGTTTGGCAGCTTGGGCGGGTATCTCTGGGATTACGGGGGTACAAGTGATGTTGGGGAGGGAGCGACGAAGGAGGCATTTGTCAATGTGCATCTGTATACCAGCGCCGAGGTGAAGTTTCAGGTCGGAGAGGCGGAGGTGACGTTTTCGCAAAAGTCCAACTGGCCGTGGGAGGGCAACATTCTCTTCCAGCTCAAGGGCGCAGAGACACTCGACACAACGATACGACTGCGCATCCCAGCCTGGGCGACACAGCACGGCCACGTCCTCACGCCTACGCCGCCCGTGGGAACAGCCACGCTCGAGAAGGGAGGCTACCTCCGTCTAGATCCCTCATACACGGCCTCGAACTCAGTCTTCTCGCTCGATGTCGGCGCCGCTAGCTTCGCGCCGCGGTACATTGCGCCGCATCCGTACACCAACCAGCGCACGCTCAGCCTGGCGCGAGGTCCGATTGTGTACTGCGTCGAGGACGCTGATCACCCGTGGGAGGAAAACCACTTCAAGGACGTGGGGATCAAGAGGGCAACGGCCGTGGAGGAGGAGTGGAGGGTCGATGAGAAGAGCGGAGAGGGGTATTTCGCGTTGAAGACTAAGGGATGGGAACGGTCGCCTGAGGTTCTCGCGAGAGGCGAGGATGGGGTGGAGAGGGAACTTGTGTTTGTGCCGTTTTACTTTCGGTCGAATAGGGGTGGGAAGGGGCAGATGAGAGTTGGTTTGAGGGATGATGGGAGGTGAATTGAGGATATCTATGTGTACGTTGGCAAGTGCAGAGTTACCATCTTAGGATGAACCCATACGAAGGAAGAGCAGAGTGAACCACGGAGGGTCATGTATCTCAAAGTGAACAAAGGTACGAATATTACCCAGAAGTGAAGTGAAGTCGGGCTTCCACGTGATGCCCACCCAGCCACAACCCTCACCTCACCTCACTCCTTCCTACCTCTTCCCTTCTGCCCTCCCGTCCTCCTTCATCCGAAGAACCTGGCCACCACCTTCCTACTCAAGGCGCCTATTCACCTCACTCTATCACCAGCACCTCCGGTCGATTTAGCCGAGTGGTTTCGACTCTGACGCAGAGTCGCATTAAAACAAATACTCCAATGAGGCCAGTGCTGGTTCGAGGGGCGCGCTATTCGAATCCGGACAGGGGCGTGAATAATGAGGTCAGTATCCCCCCTCCCTTCCTTCCTTTTCTTTTTGATTTTTAGTAAGTGGTTTCTTCCTTCTCTTGCTTACAGTCTAACCTGAGGTATTCTGCTAGTCGAGAATGTCTTTCCACTTCCATTATAACGAATGGAAAACGTTGCTCGCCTTGTATATGGGCCCTGTGTCAAGGTCCTCGTTACAGGTTGAGTCCACTGCATTTTGCCGGTGATTTCATGCTAACGAATCCCTTGGCTCTTGCTCCATGGACTGCTATATTCAAGCATGATTGAAATTGACCCTCATAGTGTTTCTTGTGCAGTGGCACGGTAGATAAGTCTAAAATCATCGAAATCAGCTGCAAAAAATATCCTGCTTGCGTGACGGCTGGTTGAAGTATATACTAGTCTATCCCTTGAGAACACACTAACCGGCTGGAAAGCATTGAAACGATCTAGCTATGTGAAACAATTGCAATCGAATGGATCTTTGCCAAGTAAGTTGGTCTGTTGGAAATATTGACTCCCAATATTCATGTCGAATCGTGCTCACAATGATTTGAAGTACGGTGCTTGGATAGTATTTACGTTTCTCATCCTATAGATACTAGAAAACTTTGATGTCTGCGGCTCATGCTCGCCACTAGTGATTCTTCGTCCGGATTTCAAACCATTCCAACGAGGAACCAATCACTCATATCTTGAACCGGAACCCATGCGCCGCCGCCTCTCCCGGCGCAGCATTGATAGCACCCTCGACGTGCTCCCCCCTCTCCAACTTGCGATTCAACCCCACCAACACAAACCTCAACACCGTCGCCGCGCAGATGGCAATAAAGCAAGCAACGCAGTTGTGAATAAACGCAGCCGTGTACTGCGGGCTATCCTTTGACGGGTACAAGTAACTAGCGTAGATACTGCTGCAATTACTAACAGCATTGATAAACGCCAGCGCGGCGGCTCTCTTGGCAGGGGGCCGCGGCAGAGTGTTGCTGATCCAGGCCAGCGCCGTGGTGTAGCCGGTATACACACCAGGAACAAGGAGCATCATGGCGACGTAGCGCGGGGCGGTCCCGTGGGTGGCGGCGCCGAGGATGAAGGCCGCCATGGCGACGCAGAGGGGCACGACGATGTGGAAGTAGCGCTCGCCCGTGCGGTCGGCGTGCCAGGCGTTGATGCAGGTCGTGATGACGCAGAGGACATACGGCGGGCAGGTTAGGAGGAGGGAGATTACTCTGTTGTAGCCGAGGGTCTGGACGACGGTGGGGAAGAAGTTTGTAATGGATGCCGAGGCGACGATGCAGAAGATGAGGACCAGCTTGGATGGAGTACGTTAGTGTATGTACGGAGAACAGTGTGACGAGGGAGAGAATATGGCCTTACCAGAATCCACGTCTTGACATCCTCCAACGCCGTCTTGAACCCATGCCAAAACGTTTGCTCCCCGCTATTCTTCCAATCATCTTCGCCAATATCCTCTTCCAGCCTCCAGACCGCGAGCGCCGTCTCCTCCTCAGTCAACCACGACGTCGTCCTCGGGAAATTGGGCAGCACAAAAAACGCCGCAAACGCAATGGCGACGGTCACGACGCCTTCGATGAGGAACAGCCACTGCCAGGCGCCGAGCCCGCGCGCGCCGTCCATGTTGCCCGTGATGCCCGCCGAGATGAGCCCCGAAAAGGCACCCGAGATGAGGGAGCCCGTGTAGAGGATCGTCGTGCGCAGGCCGAGCTCCTCGCGCGTGTACCAGCAGGAGAGGTAGTAGAGGCAGCCGGGGAAGTAGGCGGCCTCGACGAAGCCGAGGACGAAGCGGATCACGAGGAGGCCTGCGTAGTTGCGGCACGCGGCTGTTGCGGCGGAGATGACGCCCCAGATGACCATCTATGATTCAGTCTTGTTAGTGGTCTGTGACTGGACATTCCTTTGCAAGGTAGCTTGCTAGGATGGATGGAAGTGACCTTTTTTTACTTACACATGTTGGAAGGTATAGCGCAGGCTTTCCAATCTTATTGAGAAACAGGTTCGAGGGCACCTGCATGAGAAGGTACCCAACAAACAAGATACTCACAGCCGTCTGGAACTGGTTTGAATTGGGATCGAGGTTGAGATCCCGCTCCAAACCTGCCAGACGCGCCGCGGCGATGTTGTTCCTGTCAATGTAGTTCCTTTTTCAAACCCCAACAGGTCAGCAACTACTCTCTCTCTTTCTCTCGGTCACGGCCCCTCATAGCAATATCACTCTTGCGACCAAAGGTCTTAGGACCAGAAAATTCCCCTTGTTGAAACTCACAAAATATACATGATGACAATCATGGGCAGCAAGCGAATATCCACCTTGCGCTTCAGCTTCTTCTCGAGGTCGACGCGGTACTCGTGCGACATGGCCGCGACGATGGGCGGCGGCTGCAGCCCGCGCCGCTCAGCGGCTTCGATGGAGAGCTTGGGCGGCGCATCTTCCAGGTCGCCGGCGCCGACGCGGTGCTCGTGGTGTAGCGAGGCGTGGTCCACCTCGGACTGCTTCCCGTCTGCCATATTTGGTTCCCACCAGTCGTCGTGAAGTTTGTGGGGGGGAGCTTCCTCAGAGAGTTGTCGATTGGAAATTGCCGAGTCCGGGTGGTTGTCAGCCCTCGTGGGAACACTTTCATCTCACTCCGACTCGCTGGCGATTGAGTATGTGTGTGACAATTGCTTCTTTCTTTTTTCCAAAGTTGGTAAGGTTCGACTCAACCATGAAGCGGACAAGCTTCTTTTTAACTCCGCACATACCCCAGATATGGCAAATGGCTTCCCGCAACGGAAAAGGGAAAAGAGTGGCATGCATGCATGGGTGGTTTCGTCCCAGCTTTTCCCCCAAGTCGGGATCATCACCGTTGACTGCCAACCCCCTCTGGGTAATGGGATTACATGTTCCCAGCCATTCAGAATCGAGACTGAGGGGAAAGTGCTGATTCTTGACTGGAGTGATGAAGATCTGTCCACTAGCTCTTCATTAATATTCCTTCCTCCGCATCTCCAAAGCAGCCCCCCCCATCACGGCGGTAGTCGATATCGGTCCGATCATTCCTGTCTACTTAGCCTCCTCGGTCTGAACTCGGGAGCCAAACCAGTGCTCTTGGAACATTCAAAGAATCATCGAAAATATGCCCACTGAGAAAACCCGTTACGAGAAAACTAGGAGAGAAAAGTCGAGAGAATCTACACATTAAGCTCCATTGGGTTACTGCTCCCCAACCACTCGGCATCGATCACTAATTGCTTTTTTTCTCGTGAACCTATCAAATCACACGAGATCATACGAATAATACCAGTCAAGACTTCATTTTTTCGTTCTCGCGTTCGGAGAACAAGTCCAGAAACAGAAAGGCACCAACAAGTGCTCGGCTTTTAAGCTTGAAATGTGAACAGCTTGTTCGTCCTCCTCTTCCCAAGGAAATCCCCACACACGGAAAAGCGTCACGTATCCATTCTATGACCAACCCAAAATCCGGGGTTGGAGGCAAATTGGTGCGGGGGAACGGGGGACGAAAGACCAGAATCGAGACGAATGACCGGGGTCGGGGTCGGGGGGCGGAGTACTCCGCAACCACCGACGGCAACCAAAGCTGTAAGATGTGTCGAACGATTGCGGTGAAGTGAGAGGTTAGCACCAGAGAGAAAGGTCAAGTTCGGGGCGATGACGGCACCCGGTGACTGACAGCTTGGGTGCTGTGCCGCAGGGGGTAAACGGGGAAGCTTGATCTCTGCTCGCGCGACCCAATCACGCCAATGTCGCCAATCATTGAACCAATCTACTCACGCAGGCCACGCGAGCCACGGAACCGATACCTTGGCGAAAAAACCAAAGGCCATTGCAAGACCGTATGTGGAAAACCAATGACGAAACGGCTTCTATACATGCATTTTTCTATTCCATGATTGGACCGGCTGTGCGCGCACATTGAGATATTCAACTAAAGCCGGCACATGGCCGGCACGGCACCGAGCGGAGAAACAGTGGTCCCCACAAAAGACCAAGGAAATATGCCCCCACTCACCGGCTCGGCACTTTCTCAAGATGGAAGGGGACCAAGCTTTCGGCCCAGACTTGCGGCTCCGCGGCTTCGGACGACCGGCGGCGGCGGTCAAACAGCACCGGATGGAATTAGGGGTACCGGGCCGACGTTTCGTCAAAAGCAACAGAATTTAGAAAAACAATCATTCACCGTACTGATTGTTGCAATTGGAGAGTATTCATGGGGTTGCAACCTTTGTATTATTGATTATATATACAAGATAGGAAAAAGGATGTATAAAACAATTACTTGTGTACCAAAAACTCCCGGATTAAGAGACAGAGAGCTGACATAGGAGAACATTTCATGACGTTATTTGTCGTTTGTATGTGCAAGAGTGTTGAAGTGTGTGCATGTGTGCGTGTGTGCAGAGGATGACCGCGGGCGGAGATGGGTGGTCTAACTTAGACACCAGAGTCCTCCTGGTGAACAGAGTCCTCCTCGGCATAGGTGCGCCAGTTGGCGCAGGTGCTGTTGAGGGTATCCTCGTTGGTGATGGCCGCGATCTCAGTGGGACGCTCGATGAGCTGGAGCGCGAAGC